TATATACACATAAACAAATATATATATATATATATATATATATAGGAGGTTCACTATATGTACCTCATTGTTCATTAACGTTTCCGTACATGGTTGAAATTGATCACCGATGATTCATTCAATGCCAAACATTTTAAAAACATAACAAAAGTGCCAGTGATCTTGATTAACTTTTTATTGGATACAAAATTTAACGTAATGAACTTTTCATATATTGATGACATTCTTAGGGAGTTTCTATCGTTTCGTTATGCAAACTGTTCCAAATGTAATGTATGCATATTATGCAGAAATATTTGAAAAGCTGCAATGATATGCTTAGACAACTAATTTCAGTCACCTCTAAGAAACACGTAAATAACACTTATAAGTTTATTTATGATATTTATGAATGGATATTTCTTACATTTCAGTTTCATTATATTTTTTACTATTTCAAAATTTTATCTTTTCAGGAAATCGCCAACAAACAACTCGTAATGAGATGTAAGTAGACCAACACAAGCCTATTTCAGTTTTTAAATCAATAATATCTTCATTAAGAACATTGGTTTCTCCATCATTATGAGCTTAATGAGAAAAGCAGAAAAAAATAACATTTTAGAAATTATTGATAAACAAATTAATGTGATGCGTGAATGTAAACAAAACACTTTAGTATTAACCCGAAGCTCAAATAACCAATTTCGATCCCTGCAGCACAAACAGAGACCTTGATTTTATTGTATTTAAGCGAAACAAACTCATTTTTGTTCATACCAACATGAAACGGTGTTTGTACAAGCAAACTGTTGGCCATTTGTATTTTTAAAGTGTAAAGTTCTACTGCTTTATAAGATACATATAATAAATGCAGAAAAAATAACGGCTCGCATTTATCAATCTGATCGTCTTGATGCTGAAAACTTGGAATTTAAACATCTAGTCTGAGATAGTATGGGCTACTACTATTAATACCAATATTATCATACCTAAATATTAATCTAAAATACCTCGACTTTTCTGTCTCATTTTCATTCACAACTTTAATATATTTTATTTCAGTATTGTGTTAATATTATTCCAAGAGAAGTTTTTTTATGGGAATTCATGTTCTTATTTTCTATCCAGATGTTCTATCAATTTCGATGTTACAACATTCGTTAATTACAAGTAACAATTTTCAGTGGTGATTACATAATTCTGTAAGACATAAGTTGCTGTAATGAATTAGTCATAAGCAAGAAAGTTTGGCGAAAAGTGAGAAGCTTATGTAAAGATTCTGTGGCTGGTTTGTGTAAGGTTTACTAAAATCACACTTTTGAACAAAATAAACATTTGCATAAATTTACCTAAACACATTAATAATTCTAGAAAAGAACCCGAACCAGAAAAATATGAAGAACCTGAAGCGAAATTAGAAGCTACAAGGAAAAAATGTCCTGATATCATTCCAGGTATTGTAGATATATAAGAAACGAGAAAAGCAAAATAAAGTTTCCATTTGAAAGCATTAAGTATATTGCGTACAGAAGTTTAGAAACAAATATAATTATAATTCTTCTCTTGTCGTCATTTGTAAGAACGCTTTTGTTAAGAGCACATGTTAATTAATAACTCTTATGAACTTCTTTTAACACGCGAGTATGAATTTGTTTTGCTGTTTTTTTAACTTTCACAATTCAAAAATAAAATAAGAAAAATACGTACAGGCTGAGAGGCAATCATTTTCGTTATCTGTATAGTTTGCAATATTACAAATATGAAATGATCTAATCACGATAAAATATAATTTCGCAATTTAAACCAATCATTTTCGTTATCTGTATAGTTTGCACTATAACAAATATGAAATGATCTAATCACGATAAAATATAATTTCGCAATTTAAACCAATCATTTTCGTTATCTGTATAGTTTGCAATATTACAAATATGAAATGATCTAATCACGATATAATATAATTTCGCAATTTAAACGTGATAATTTCTATCAAACTAGATACGTGAGACTTAGATGACTCTTAATTATTATTATTATTGGTAAATGATTTTTTTATACTCAAAAATTGTTTGGATCTAACGGCAAAGCAATAATTTTCCCATGCATCGGCTAAAAAAATCCCGTTTGCATAAATTTTATATTGATATGGAAAAAAAAATACCGTCATTTTCTTGAATACATCAAGGAATAACTAGCATAGAATGATTTTTATTATCACGACAAGTGCATTATAGGCGCAGAGGCATCATCCATAAATCAAAATACAATGTCTAACGGTAAGACAACTGTATGAAAAAAACATGTATCTAATTCTCATAGCTAAAACATATTGTGAAACATAAGAAAAAACAGATGTTGATCCCTATTGTCATTCTTCACTTGTAAATTTTATCCTGCTACAGTTGTACTGTTGTAAATGTATTTTTATTCTATCATAACTGCATTTTTGTTCCGTCATGCATGCCGGTGCTATGTATTTTCTTATGTGCTATTTCTTAGCTTATTTCTGATTTTTTTTTCCTAAATTGAATCTACGCTATCCAAGGGGTTTCAATAGGCGAACATCATGGAGTAAATAAAAACGTCTATGACGACTTGAAAGAGGACTACAATATCCAAGAAGAAGGAAATATATGGACAGCTAACAAACATCTTCCTCAGAACCAATCCTTTGAAATGGTACCATTTATAAACTGCCTTTGTGTAATTTTAAAGTTCCATTCACATCAGTATTATCACACATTAAGTATCTTGTTCCAAGTATGTAAAATGTAGGTATAACATACTAATTAGATTGAAAAATATTATACTTTAGTTTACAGTTTTTATGATATCAAAAAATGATATTTTATTCATATAAAAGTGGGCCATTTTTTGGTGACATTCGTCTGAAATTGGCATTACGTTTTATAATTATCTTTTTTTATATTCTGGGGAAAATAATGAAATATAAGTGTTAATTGTATCTATTTTTCCTAATTCTCTAGTTTTATTAAAATAATGATTAAATTTCTGGAAATAGTTTGTAAACAAAATTGATGTGTAAATATCCCCATTATGTAATATGATTATTAGCTATCAACATAGAAATAGTTTTAGAAAACTACTTACAACGAAATAACTTTTTTACTTATTAACAGTTCTGTATATATGACTTTTTTCTTTTCCGTAAGGCATATCGAAAAAAAAATGAAACAGAGAATGATGGCTAAGGTTAAAAGTGTTTCTAAATTCTATCATCTCATATAGAGAATGATGGCTAAGGTTAAAAGTGATTCTAAACTCTAACAACATTTTCTTATTTTTTTACGTCTCATTTGATTAAAATGTAGCTTTTTATTAAAGTGTAGTGTGTTCGCTTTTATGGCCCACATTTTTAGAAACCAATTTCATATTTTTACTTTTCTTGCAAAATCTATAGGGTAGGTTAAATGTAGGGCATTACAAACTACGACATTTTCGAACATCGTCAAGACATAACATTTTAGCTTTGTACGACGATCCTTCTTTATAAATCTCTACGTAAGTTAAAAAACACTTATACACCACACATGGATAATACTTGTGATACATTATGTAACGATTTCGTTTCTATATGTTCTACGGTTTTCAGTCACAATTAGTTCCAGTTTACCGCGTTTTTCACAGATATCGATTTATTGCGAGTTGTTATTTTCAATATTTTTCTATGCATGCTCTAACTATATTACACATCAGAGAGCCAGAGAATAAATGTTCTACCTATAAAGTGAAAGAGATCTTTAATAATTTTAGCCAATTATATAAATGTTCTATAGTGAAGTCAAAGAGATCTTTAATAATTTTAGCCAATTATATAAATGTTCTACATGTGAAGTCAAAGAGATCTTTAATAATTTTAGCCAATTATATACATGTTCTACATATGAAGTCAAAGAGATCTTTAATAATTTTAGCCAATTATGATTGTGATACTACAATTGCTTTAAAGATGGAATAAAATCAGAAATTATCTCCATGATGTTTAGAAACAATAGAAACTGCAAATTAGCAAGAGCTTTAAAGCTAATACTTTGATATATTCTACCACTAATGTGAGTTCTCATCATAAATCCATTTATTGCCAATACATTTGGATTTGGCTTTTTGTGTGTTTGTTTGTTTTTGATTTAGCTATTTAATTAATTACTTAGTAAACATTAAAACACTTTCAGCATTTTTTGTAACGTTTAGGACCCACTACAAATACAGTCACACCTTATAAATAACGACGAGGAGTATGTGGGACCACAAAGCTATTGGTCATCATGTCAACCAAATATAAAGGGTGTTCGTGTTCTTCCTTCTCCAACACTCCATACGTTCGTCTATGACACTGACCAACCTGACCTTCATCTGATACCACCTCGTCAAACGGACGTCTGAACACGCCGTCCACATTTACTATTAAATTTACCTACAAATATCAGAATCTATCAGTAAGTTGTAACATTGATGCGAACGTGCTCATGAAGTTCTGAAGTTAACGTCGTAAGCCTATCTTTGGATGTACAACAAGTTCATCTATGATTAAACATCTACGTGTTATACTAGAGGAGCATCCAAACTAGTCCGTATACGTGATCAATATTAAATCGGCTAATTTGCCAGCTTTGCTAGAATGTGACAATGCATTTTGTTGAACCTTTTCATTTAAAAAAAATGGAAAAGTATATGATATATTTTAAGATTGTGACAGGAGATATAATCGTCTCTCAATTTATATTGTGATTTGTGTTTTTCTTTGTTTTGTGGAATGCTTTTCTGTAGCTTAATACATTATGACATTTCACAATTATTCAGTATTATATATGTTGGAAATGTTTATTTAGAAAATAGTGTTTATTAAATTATAGAAGTGTATTCTATTGGTGACAACTTGACATTTAAACTACGTTTCCGTACACGGAACATCATTGCGAGAGAACTGTAAAAAAAAACAATGTTTTCATGCCAGTCAAACATTTTGCTTAGACTTGTTCTTCCTTATAATGATTTAGTAATTGAGGGTTAAAAATGGTATATATATATATGTGTGTGTGTGTGTGTGTGTGTAGTAAATCAGCCAGACAAATGGAAATAAAAAAAGAAGAATAT